AGATACTTGAGGAGAAGAAACTCATCTTTTAATTTATATAAATCTCATTTCTAATCGTAGCTTTTGACGTTTTCAAGTGCGTGTAGACGTCTCATCCTATTAATTGTATAATTTAAAGGGGGGTTTATGCGTGTTTCCGGTTGATAACGTTTGAGTGAGCTGAAGTTGCCAGAATTCCTTAGCTTTGGGACGGGTTGCAAATAGATTGTATCCAGCTTAAATACTTGAATATGAAAATAGACCGAGGAAAACCATCCTTAAGATTAATGAATAATGTAGTCTATAAGTTCGAATTTAAAAATCCCTTCCGACTTTTAATCGGTAACATTTGGCAAATAATATGTGACGAAAACATTCAAAATTTAATCGAGTTTTTTTAATTTTAACAATTTTGAAATCCAAACTAAAATGACCGGGAGAATCTTTGTGATCGTGTAATCATTTTATATCTAAAAAATATGCACATTATTTTACATCTTAATAAAATTTAAATTTTTAAACTTTTAATGTTTAAAAAATTACGTGATACGAGTTCTTCATTATTTGAGAGGACTCCAGATGGGTAAAAGTAATCGGTGCGGAGTTTGGAGCTGCTGCAGCAAGAGAATCAATATCAGCAGCGTACCTTCACTGACCCACTGTTACCCTGATACCTGATGTATGTACCTATATTTGTCTTTACCCTGATGTTCAAACTCTGCTCTCCTAGTACCGTATGGATCTTCTCTATACATTGTGTGTGATACCTATGCTTTCGCCTACTCAGATATTGAAATTCTTCTTTCCTGATACCTTATGTATGAATCCACCGGATGCATTACGTATAAAACCTATACTATAAAACTTAAAAATTCTGATATTCAAATCCTACTCTCCTAATACCCGATGTATGAATGTACTGAATATACAGTAACCGTGATATTACTTATTGCGATATTCAAAATCTAGCCTCCTGATAGGACCTAATGTAGTATGTACTGTTCAACCCTTTTCCCCTAATATTTACGTACTAGCTGCTACGCCCGTGTTTCGAATTGGGAACAGGACGCGAACAAGAATGATGCAGTTCTTTATATTTGCTGTATGAAATGGTTACACGTACAGCATTCGTGTTAAAAACAAAACTTTAGTTCAGCACTTAGCATATTGGCTTTATTCCTATGCATACCCATTCCTTCTGATACCTGGTACCTAGCATATATTTGTTTAAAACCTTTGTCTGAAATCAAGTATTTAGTATTTTCTATAATATGTTACTTTTAGACCTATGCTTTTGCTTATCCCGGTATTCAATTCCTACTCTCCTGATACCCTTTTTATACTGTTTAAAACCTAATACCCTGATATTATGTACTATTATACCAGATAAATTCTTCTCGTACAGCCTGCAATCCTGATACATTTTATATTTAGCCTACTCAGGTTTCTTCATACAATTCAAGTTTAGTATTCTAGCTTACCGTTATCATGGATTATTTCATACTAGGTTTATCATATAATAAGTCAAATCATAGATTTGAAAATAGACACTCTCCTCCTTTAATCTATGGCAAAACTGTATATCTATACCAGTTTCCTGAACCCCAAATGCACTTACAGAATAGAGTTACCACCAACCCTGTTTTTCTGACACCCAGTACTTTTCTTCTATAATAATAAACTATAATATTTTAAAGATTATTCAAAAGCTTTAATAAAGCTAAAACTCGAGTTTATGATCTCGTACATATATAAAGTATTCAAACGTGTGTGAAAACAAGTAAAAATTTATTTAGTGGCACAACGTACTCTTAGTATTATTACTTACGATTTTACTTTTGCTTTTACCATCAAATAAAGTAAATTACTGAAATGGACAACCCATCTACAGTATATTAACCAATAAGTCAGCTCCTTGCTCAAAGAGAACACGGTTGGACGAGCTTCTGATGGAGTAAGTGTGCCACTATTGAAGTTCTATTTTCTACTTTAGTTTGTCATACTATAATGGTCGATGGGGACAGATGTGATGGTTTGCAATATGAAGCCTTTCCTTTGGCATGATCCTAAATACCCTTCAATAATATTTTTTTTTTTTCAAAATTTGAATATTACATTTGTTTATGTGTATCCAGAAAACTTGTAATGAATTAATATGTGTTAAACGTTTTAGTGTTTGGAACAAAGGGGGTTTATTCTTTGACTCCCCAGGATTGACTGAACTACCTTGTTCAAATTAATAAACATGGAACTTCATCGAAATTGCTTTCAGCTTACATTACATTATAGACTTTAGGTTAATTACAATTATCCTAAAGTTTTCAAATGATATTTTCAAATTTTCTAATGGCTGTTAAAGAGTACTTAACAATTCAAAATATAATACCTACCTGTCTCATCATGAATTTAAATGTATTAATACAAAAGTACAATACAAAGTTGTCGTTTATTGAAAATTTAAATGAACTGTTACATTATATAAAAAATAATTGGCTATGAAAAATACTTCAGAAAATGTAAGAAAATATCTCAGCAATGCAATACGGGCTTATTTAAATAAATAAATATTCAGCGATGAAAATAACGCAGCGTTCCACGCCATTTCATCACAAATTGGATTCTCCCTGTTCACTATTTAAAATCGGCTTAAAATTTATTGCAACCTGCATTCCCATGAATGCAGTCTTATAGTCTTAGTCTATAATAATTTAATTATTTTTATTTGAACTGCTACACTTGAAGTAGTCGAATCATTAATTGCATTTTCCAAATTTCTCAACTATGACAATCATAAATTATTGTTTACTTGGTCAAAATGAGTTCATTAGTCTAATAAAACGTAGCAAAATGTAATTTTCCTTATTTAAGAGTGATTGGACACAGGTAGTTTTAGTGGTTTTAGGGTCAATGGTAAAAGTTCAATTTTAATCGGACTAACATTTTGTCTTCTTTTCTTCCAGATTTAGTTTTAATTGACTGCCAATCGCACAATATACCTTATTATAAATTTTACGACCTACTTTGAGTTTGAAAAATCATACAAAAGAAAAAACACTCCAAGTACAGTAGCCTATTATACAATTATTAATGCACAGTATATATCCTAGACTTATTCGAGTTTTTAAACCAAGGATAGGGCTACCTTAACTTCGAAACGACCGAAGAAGGAAAAAATATTTAGCTTTCCAAGGTAGTCTGTTTTTTTTGTTTAGTTTCATTTTTAGGGAGGAATTTCAACTTATTGAAGAAACCATGATTTTTCAGCGATCATATATAGTGTATGACAAACAGAGTTTTTTATACTGAAAAAATTAAGATAACAAAATTGCTTTAAATTTAGGTAATTATTTAAAACGATCTCTATTCATGGCACTTAAGACGACAGAAATAAACAATTTATAGAGAAAACTACACTATTCCTAAAGTAATTCAGAACTGTGACAGTCTGAGTAACGCTCCAGTGAGGGAGACAAACACCAAATCACTGCTACAGGACGGTTTACGGATATAATTGCAGGTTGAGTCCGTCCCTGGTCCCTGATCAATACTCTACTGGGCCTACTGCTCACTAACCTACTGGCCTACTTTCATTTTTTTTTATTATTTGCATCTGGGTGCTTGATTAAAAGCTAGCTACATGATAAAAGCATGAATGTATAAATGGCTGGGTAGTTGAGTGGTTATAGCTCTCCTCTAGTTAGTTAGGTCGCCGGTTCGTTTCTGAAACAATCAATACTTTTTGTCGATTGTTACGATAAACTGTGTCCGTGTATCTAGCTAGGACCATTTACTTAGCTGAGTACAGTTTCCATAACACGACTACCACAGATCTTTTCAGGATTGAACTGGCGATATTTTATGTAAGAATTTATAGGAAATTACAAAATTTTTAAAAATGTTTCATCTCAGAAGCAACCTTTCAAACCTCTTTGAGCTGGCTCTTTTGACAGTATAGAGACTGAATGCAGAAACAAAATTGATAGAAATCTAGGAAGATGCTTATCAAAGTGAGGATTCAAACCAGGTGGCATCAGTGACAAATCAATATCAGCTGATGTCAACTTCCTGTCTAGGCCACCTACTACTCTTCCGGTGGAAGTGGTTCAACTCAAAGGATGGTCATTCAGGATTAATCATTTTAAGAAAGTGCGTACCCTCTTTCAACAACAAAGGAGAATATATTGTGTCAGTAACGCTTAGACATGTGATTGTGAAAGATTTATCTCAAACAATAATTTAAGAAGTCATAATAAAAGGAAATTAAGAAAAGCTTTTAAAATCTTAGTAGGACATTCGATATTTGACACTCTTCTACAAATTATGTAAAACGACAACAAAAACACGCACAAATCTATTGGAGTGGCGGAAACCGCAAAACGAAAGACCCATTGAGAATGCACTTTAAAAGTAAGAAGTAATCCAATCCAGGAAATGGGAAAGTAGAATTTAATCCTCGATTTACAAAAGGGCAGCGGCGGCGCATTGTGAGGCTTTGTAAAGCCGCAACCCTCTCTTCCAGAGATTGCTACACTTGGGTCTACAACTTGGCCCATTCCATTACAAACTCAGTCCTTGGTTAGAATTCATTTAAATACGGATCTGAACTTTTAAAATGCCTAGTACAGCGTGTTCTTCTGATTACTGTATAGCCTCCTCTCCTCTGTTGCATGGATGTAAATTCCGGTTAATTCAGGGTTTAAATTTGTAAAGTACCCTCTTGGATAGTAATAATAACAACAACAAACGTGTACTTTGCTCAGACGCTCCATGAAATATTGCTGCAGCGGACACGATATTTCCGTCGCCACGGCCTTGTATTTGCGTCTATGTAATTGAATATAGGTAATAATAAATGTTTTTATGAGATCTAGTGTCGTACGAATTCCCTACCCCCAGTGTAATAACAATGCACGTCCTCTATTGAAAAATGTTGTTACTTACCCCCTCAATAAATATACTGTATATCATTCTCATCAAAAGAACTTGAGTATACAATGTATATTAAATACAAATGTAAATACCTTGTATGCCGTGCTGTGGTCGTAGTTGTTGGTCTCGTGAAGCCCCACAGTTACAGGTCTGGAGCTAGAGAGTCTAGTGGCCCCCACAGTCCCCATCGCCCCCACAGCCGCGACATAGCCCCTTCTGTCATACTCGGCGATCTGAAAACACAACAGACGGTAAGCTTAGCCCCTCAGTTACAGGTCTGGAGCTAGAAAGTCTGGTGGCCCCCACAGTTCCCATCGCCCCCACAGACGCAACATAGCCCCTTCTGTCATACTTGGCGATCTGAAAACACAACAGATGGTAAGCTTAGCCCCTCAGTTACAGGTCTGGAGCTAGAAGGTCCGTTGGCCCTTGAGCCCCCATCACCCCCACAGCCACGACATATCCCCTTCTGTCATACTCGGTGATTTGAAAACACAACAGACGGTAAGCTTAGCCCCACAGTTAAAGTTCTGGAGCTAGAGAGTCTGGTGGCCCCACAGTTCCCATCACCCCCACAGCCGCGACATAGCCGCTTCTGTCATACTCGGTGATCTGAATACTCAACAGACAGAAAGCTTAGCCCCACAGTTACAGGCCTAAAGCTACAGTCTAGTAGCCCCAAAATTACCATACCGAGTTCACAATTCAAAATTCTCGAGCATTCAATTATTATGGCTGAAATCAAAATAAAACTATTAAGGACAACGTTCAGAACTTATAATTACCCCACGGTAATATAATTCAAGAACAGTATGCTATTACAACATATAAATAATACGAGCTGCTTCGCAACGGTAAGAGGACGCGAACGATAATAACGTGGTTCTTTAGACCCATAATAGACTTGGTGTATGAAATATTTACTATTAACTAGGTGCAACGAAATTCTTTTCTTTAAATTCAGGTAAGATGAAATAGGCAACGTAGTACGGTGTAGATCTTGCGTGAGTGTAGCAATTCAATACATTAGGCCTACTGGATATTGATGTTTCATAAGACAATGATAGTTTACTCTAATTCTTCAATTATACTCAAGCCTATCTATTTACCTGTAGCTCGTTAACATTTCGTAGAAAACGATAAGCAAAATTCTTCAGAACCTTTACTACCTTCCTTTTGTGAAACATAACCCTCTTACACAACTCACACATTTCCACAATGTAAATACACACACAACAAAAACATCTTCCTACAGCTGGGTAAACCACTAAATTCATCAACCATCTGTTCATCTGTTCTCATTTAATTAATTAAAAGGCGTGTAAACTTTGAAAGCATGTAAGGTGAAGCCCTTACAATTTATCGGATATCGGCCTATGGGGCAGAGCAAGGGCAGAGACCTTAGGTAATTCATTTTCATACCAAATCCTTTCGGCAAATCTACTTACTTTGAACATCGTTTTTATGTGCCAAATACCAAGATTTTTTTTATGGCCTTAAAAGATTACTACAGATTTTACCAAACATTATCACAAATTATAGTTTGAATTAGACACTAAAATAGTTTCTTTAAAAACTCGGGCCTTCTTCAACTGCATGAGTTTGTACAGTAAAATCCGTAAAAACGCGTCCTGTGTCGTACTAGAGTTCAAATAAAAATTTGCCTTTCATTCCGTACCAATACTCTCATAATAAATACAACAAAAGTGAGTTCAGATATAAATACGAAATATTTGTCACTAATTCGAAATATTCTGTACCGGTAACTAAAACGTACATTTACAGTTTAAATTTATTGTGTATATAACCACGCCATTAAGGTATGCAGGAATATAAACTAAAAAAAACTTATTTACCAATCACTATTTCTTTCCCCAAAGGAAGCGTTGAGTTTCAAATCGCTACCATTATAATTACATTGATGCCTCAATTAGTAGATAATGGATTCTATTAGGACGAAGCGAATGCAATTTTTCAAGCCAGATTCTCGGTGATATTGGATTGCTTGGTTTAACGGTCTTGATGAGTTGGTTATTTTGAAACGTGTTAGGGGAATTACCACGCTTCATTTAGCTGTTAGTGAGGATGTGTTTGGTTATTTATAATTGCCACACAATCTCGCATAGGCGAGTAAAGAGGGAGTACGTTACATGAATGGAAGTTGGATTTATTTGTTGTTTGCTACATTTTATGATGAGCTATTCCTTTTATTATTTTTTAAGGATGGTGACAGGGAAGAAACGAACATAGTTTATTCTTTTTGGTACGATATAGATACAGTTTTTTTCCACCAAGAGTCGGCGTCTAGGCGTTGCGTCTCCCGAGCGCCGAGTCTCCCGAGCACCGAGGGCAAATGAGTATCCCCAGCGCCGAGGCCATACATTACCAAAGGGTCTGCTCAGTGATGCAGAAGTGACGAGGGTTAATACCTTCTATTTTAAAATGGTATCAATGAGTTTAATCTGTGAAGCAGTAAAGGTTAGGTTAGGTTAAGTTAGGTTAGGTTAGGTTAGGTTATAATCATTCAAGATTAAGAGCGAGCATGTCAGAGAGTCGGTAAGCTGAATAAAAAAATAGTCATTAAATTTTAATTTAGAATTTGGTTCGTATCATGTCTGCAATGAAATGTAGGTAAAATTAACGTCATTCCAGTGCAGACTGTCTCAATGATCAATTGGGCACCCGCCTTTACCGCAGTTCGTTGCTTTTGTGAATTCCAATTCGGCTGTCAAAACTGTCAGATTATGCCGAATAGCCTTGGCGCTGAGGAGACGCGGCGTTCGGGAGACGGAATCGCGTCTATAGGTAGGAACCGTAGAGGTAGGTCTGGAGGTGCGGGTTCAAATAACGCCAATCAAGAATGACTTCTGCTACGTCATCACGCCTTTACCCGGTGGTTCGGAGTCTACCAGAAACAGTAGGATCCGCAAAACACAAATAAAGGTAAGAGTCTAATGCGAAGACTCGAGGAGGTCTCCCCCACTAAAAAGCCATCTGAAGTATTAATTTTTATTTGCTTATCTAATATATAAAATTCTCGTGTCACAGTGTTTGTCTGCAAACTCCTCCGGAACGACTTCACCGATCGTTATGAAATTTGGTGTGTAAATTCTGTAGGTATGCGAATCGGACGTAAACTATTTCCCGTTTCAAAATTCTTAAAAGGGCTCCGCCCCAGTGGCTCTGGAGTTTCCCATGTTAACCTTATGAGAAATGGAATTAATGAATCTTAACAGCTGTTTCAATTAAACAAGTTGGTTCTGTTCTATGATGTTCAATAGAATTAAAGTTACAAGGATTACCAACAGGGTGCAGCACTATTATTTCTTTTACATTTATGACAACAGCTAATTTGCAACCAAAAGGTGAGTGAGCGTAGCGAACGAACTTCAACCTGGAGGCGAGTGAGCGTAGCGAACGAGCTAACCTGAAGGCAAGTGAGCGCAGCGAACGAGCTCCAACCTAAAGGTGAGTGAGCGTAGCGAACGAGCTCCAAACCAAAGGTGAGTGAGCGTAGTGAACGAACTTCAACCAGGACGAGATTGAGCGATGCGAACGAGATCATCTTGAAAATTAAACGTAACGGTACTTTCTTTCCAACGGTCTGTCTTAGGGGAAACCTATAACTTAGGCGATACGAAGTTCGCCGGGTCAGCTAGTAATCTATAAAATCCCAAGAATGTCGTTAGAGTACATTTGTATCCTACCAAACAATCGCCAGAATTGTATCCCATTTTTTTTACAAAATATTGTAAAATAAAACGTAATGATATTATATAATGAAGAAACTTACAGACTGTACCGATTTTGGGTATATAGTAAACGTATATACCGGGTGTCCCACAAAGAGGTTTAAACGTTTGATTTTATATTACGTGCCCATTTATGCACCAAACTTTTTTAAACTTTGCACAATTTACAAAGTAGGTTCTAAAAATATTCTGGAAAAATTTAAGCTCCCTAACATTAGTAGAAACAAAATGGCGGCATATTGAAAAACAATACTTTAAAAACATTAAATAAGGTATTTTTGGTTTTATAAAATATTTTTATTGTTATTTTCCAGGGCAATATGACTTTTAAATAAAAAAAAACTAGGACATAGCCTAATGGAAAACTTTAATGTCCAAAATTATTCAAACCGTAACCCATCCACAACAACACACTGATAATAATGTTTTATAAAACCAAAAATACCTTTTTAATGTTTTTAAATTATTGTTTTCAATATGCCGCCATTTTGTTTATACTAAGGTTAGGGAGTTGAAATTTTTTCAGAATATTTTTAGAACCTACTTTGTAAACTGTGTTAAGTTTAAAAAAGTTCGGTGCATGAATAGGTACGTAATATAAAATCAAACATTTAAACCCCTTCGTGGGACACCCTATATATTATACGTATAACGTTGTATAGAAAGCAACAACCATCAAAACCAACCCTCAGCCTGTGAATAGCTACTTCTGCCACAAAAGGCGAAATCACAGCAATCTGCAAATTTAACCAACTACTTGAGAATCAGCATGATTCAAGGGAGAACGTAATCTGTGCCTCGTGTGGCTCGGTTTGAGAGTAAACATCGTTATGAACAATTCTGTCTCAACATTTACGTGACGAGTGAATTAAGATGTTATAGAAATTGTATATTTGGTGGAGATAGTTCTCAAATATTGAGAAAGGTTCCCTCTGAAAGAGATAAGTACAACTCTTATGACATTGTGGAACAATGAAAAACCATCTTGGAATTTTTTTATCTATGTATATCTATGCTTTTTAAAGTTATTTTTTTTAAGGGATGGTCCATACCTGGTTCTGTTACATCGACTTATCGCTACATAAATCTAGCATATTTAATCTATAGTTCTATAGTTCGTAGCCCATCTTCTGTCTACAAGCTATTCAACCTAATAATAGTTGGGCTTTTTGACAGAGGAACGTACCGGTAACCCTGTTTTTGTATTTAAGATAGTCCAGGAGCCATAAACATGAATTTTGATTAATTGATAGCAGATTGACGAATGACAACTGGATCCAGTATCGATCAAACCGAACCAACTACCTTCAGACTTGGAGGCAAGCACTATACTAACCCTAGTAATCCTAGGCTGCCAAGACAATTTGTTTTAGTACAATCGTGTCGTCATCGCCTATGAAGAGAATAGGCATAGTTACATAATTACACAAATTAATAGTCGTAACCTACTTTGTATCAACGCACAACTTTCAAGATTCTGG